TCAAAGAAATGTGATTTGGAATTATTAATAAATTAATAAACAACATATTTGAAGACATTGAATTCACCACGAGAGAAGAAGAATTAGACAACAAAATCCCATTTTTAGATGTCTTAATCAGGAGAACTGACACAGGAAATCTAGAAACACAAGTACATAGAAAATCAACGCACACAGACCAAATACTCAACAACAGTAGTAGTAATAACCCAAATTACCCACAAAAGAAACTGTGTGCAGACATTGTTTAAAATAGTCCTAACACACTGTTTCTCAAGTTCTGTGTTGAAGGGAATGGAGGAAAAACACCTACTAACTGTATTCGAAAAGAATGCGTATCCCCCTCACAACTTCATTAAAAAGTGTTTAAAATCGAGTCACAACATCAACAAGAAACCATCATCAAAGACCACAAGAAAGTTCATCCTACCATATATAAGAGAAAATATCTCTGAAATGATAGCTAGAATATTGAAACCGTTTGAAATAGATATAGTCAGTCAGCCAACACAATCACTTCATTCATCGATATTGTGCAAACCAAAACATCCAGCAGAAAAAGATAAAATTAGTACCACTTACAAAATAAATTGTATGAATTGTAACAGACAAAATGGGAGTCCCCTTCGAATCAGAATCCAAGAACACAAATTAGCTGTGATGGAAAGACATGATATATATTCTTTCATATTAATGCATGTGGATAATTAGGGACATCAATTTGATTGGGATAATGTCGGAATTTTAAATAGAGGGAACATCAAAAATCCTTCCAGAGAATTCCTAGAAGCCTGGTACTCAAGAGAATGTGCTATTAACAAACATGTTAATATAGACGAAACGTACCAACTAATCAAAAGTAAATCACATGTGACGAGAGAGTTCAAAATCCAAGTCATTAAAAAATTATCATTACATATGTAAAGATGGTGACTAGGAGACGTAATTCTATCACTCATGGAAACTCTAAATTAGTTCATTTTATGCTAAAACTTGCGCTGAAGGGAGATGTTGTCCAGAAGAGAAGCGGACGACGAAAACTACGCAATTAAACCAACCAGTTCAGAGAACACATTTAATCGCCAATCATCCACCTGAGCTACAAATCTTCTATTTTATAACAACGGAGTCTTTGGCCAACGCTACTTTTCAAAACACATATATTGGGATCACAAACAGAAGTGAAATAATATGAAGATTATGTCCAGAAAATTAGTATAATTTTAAATAATTAAAACTTTGTCTCAATTTATTTTTATTTAATGTTCAATGTGCCATTTTTCTTTGTTTTAATCTATCTTCCTCTGCATGGCGCAATATTTAAAATAATTACTAGTAGAAGTCATTAAAAAACTATATATATAGATTAATGTTAATATTATTCATTTTAAGGTTTATAAAAAGTGGTTTATAAAAACCAGTAATTGAATATTTTTACTTATAAGTAGTATGCTTGATGACAATTAAAAGATTTTGGGAATCACGCTATTTACGGTGTTTTTTCTTCAGTTAGATCAATAATGATTCAGTCTGTAGTTTTGAAATAATGTCAACTACTTATTATACCTTGTAATGTATACATATACAAATGAAGTTAATTATCCGAACAAAGTGATGTTAGGAAGTGGTGTGAGTTTTGTTTGTTTTCATGTCGGTGGCATAGAATTTACAAAATACCAATGTATACTTGGTGCATGTACTCATCGGATGCACAGAAATATAGGTAGGTCAGGTGAAAGCAATCGTACTATAACGATAGATATATAGAGCTATGGTATCATGAGTAGAAAAAAGTTATTTGATGGAAAAGAGTCTCTAGGTAGCAGTTCCTTGTTTATTGTAATTATATGCCTAATACCCTACATCCTGTTATGTAATTCACGAACCACTAGTCGGAAACTTTGTGGCTAAAGATGACAATATTTACTGGTAAAATAAGGTGAGTAGAGTGTGAAGCAAGAATAAGAGGTCAATCGATATGGTCTTAGAGCTGGATCGATTGACATGGTTAGGAGACGTGTTGCGCTTGCCGAGACACAGTCTTCCTTGACGATCAGTGTAAGGTGACACAGAATTAGGTTGAAAAAGAGGTAAGGTTGGTCATACCGAAACCTGGTATCAATCCTTGATGTTTTTGACTGTTGGTTTGAGTTAGAGACACGGGAGATGTTGACTATCTGGATTTGGTCTCAAAACACCCTATAGACGATTGACTACAGACTGTTGTGGATATGATTTATGATTTATTATTATAACTTGATTCCACACCGTATTTTTTTTGTACAAGTATGGAATTCGCAGCATGTGATATCGTTAGCCCAAATTTTGTAGGCCGACCATAGATATCGGGTGTGCGTCGGCAGGGGATCGAACCCCGGACCATGTGCATGGTCGGCGAGAGTCCTAACCACTGTGCCACCGACGCACAAACTGATTCTGTTCAAAGCGAAGTATTCACTTCTTGTTGTACTCCAGATCTTGAGAATCTGCATTATTCCTCATGCACATTTTTAGTTTTTGTGTGCAGATTTCGTTATGTGCTTTAATAAGAAATGTGATAAGCTCAATTTCTACACTTTTGAGCAAAGTTTTCTGCTGAAAGTATAGTTCAGTCCTTTACTAATACACATCAACAAAACATTCGACGTAGGACATTAATTAAAGAAATTAACCGATTAGGATCATGTATTAAGTGATCCAAAACGAAAAAAATTAGCAAGGCGCTCAAAGTGAATACAAGAGTAAGACAAGGCTACTTGCCTATTGTCACCGATGATATTCCCAATTGCGGTGGACTGGATTATACGGAAGACTATATGTTGGGAGTTAGAAGACATGAATATGCTGGACTGATCGATAAGAAGACTCTAAAAGACCTGGACTTCGCGCGTGGATGATCTATGTCTAGTGTCAAATAAGAAGAATTGCAGGCAGTCGAAAATCAACAGACTGGCAGAAGACGCTGACAGTGAAGACAAGACTACAGGTGAACATTGAGAAGATGGTGGTGATGAAGATAACCAACCAACCAACAGCAACAGCAACAAAAACCAGCACCAATCACCATCAACGGAAGAGATTTGACAGGAGTTACTTCCTTTACTTATCTAGTCAGCAAGCATCGTTTCAACCACAGGTAGTTGGAACGGTTGAAGATGTCAAAGTTAGGATCGGGAAGGAAAGATGGGCCTTCACCAACCTGAAACCAGTTTGGAAATATTCTGCACTCGCCCAGCATAAACAACAGTCAGTTCTTCTCTATGGGTCATAAATTTAGCACAAGCGTCACCGGAAGCAATTCTAACGAGTTGCAGACTTTTATCGACAGATCCCCCTTTCGCTGACCCCTTATTGAAGATCAAATAGCCTGAATGAACTAGTGACAAGAAGCCATTGCTAAACAAATATTCAGAAGAAAACGGAGATGCATATGACACACACTGAGGAGACCATCGAATGACATAACACTTCAGTCCATCGCTCGAGTGGAACTTGAATGGGAAACGTCGAATGGGTTGTCCGATTGTGACATGAAGGAGATCGTTTGAGAAGGAGGAGGAAGAAATGAAAGATTATGAGCAATGGTGGGGCCAATCATTTCTTTGTGAACTTGATTTTTCGTGTTCGGGAACATCTACTAGTGTGGCTAAATAAAGGTATGGTGCAAAACACTAACAGTTCGATATTATAACACTGGTCCAAACCAGACACAAAGCTAGCATCGAAGAAGCCGTCTCTATCATCTATCGGGTACCAAATAAATTGCAAATATCACCCAGGTACCGAATACTTCAGACAGTAGAGGCTACTGCTACCCGCCTAAAATAACCAGTGCTCTGTGTGCAGAAGAAACATCTGTTCTGACCTTCTCTGGAGCCTATAAATTCATGAATTCTATGTTAGTATTTCTCCTAACTTGTTTGATCATTACTCAGCGTAGTTTTATGTTGATGAATATTGTGACACTTACAGATGCTACTGAACAATAATCTATTGATATTATTGACTGATTCGAGGTTAGTTAAACCCTAATTCTTTCATTATCATGGATGTATCTAACTGTAGAACCTGATGAAGAGCGGAAAGAATATTCCTTCTTCAGTAGCCAGTCTTTTGCAATGCAAAGAAGTAGATGAAATATATATGTGCTGATGAAGCCCCATGTAACAATTGGAACCAAAGTATACAGTCCTTTTTTTAATTTCCTTTACTTTCCAATTGGAACATACGGCTTCAGGCTACAGACTTGAAGTTTCCGTGGCAGTGGTGTTTATTTTTCTTTATGGGATGGGGTTACTAGCCCAACCTGGCCCAACCTTCCCTCTCTACCAGTGTTATTACTTGCTTAGCGAGGTAAAGGAGTGAATCGGTAGCCGGAGATCGAACCCTGGACCAGCTCTGTGGTCGGCGGACGTTCTATCTCTGTGCCACCAACGCACAAAGCTTTGAGCCCAACGTGATGGTCCACCGAAGGAGATGGCTCTCGACAGGGTTGCGCCACAGGAGGATACTGCATGCCAGTCTCGTCTCGCAAGAGTCAGGGATACATGTGTTCGATTCTCCTAAAAATCAATACCCAGACAACTGATGTACCATTATGTGTATAGTCCTTAAGTTCATCTAACTTCAATGGTGAAGTAATGGGAGCGTCAAACTGAAGAAATACTTAATAAATTACATAGTTACACATTTATTCATTGCTAATATGAAATAGAATTGTAGGTGTTTCTTGTGCGTCGGTGACACAGCAGTAGAGTGCTCGCCGACCACGCAGGTGGTCTTCGGTTCGATCCCCGGCAGACGACGCACCCTTTTACCTCACTAAGCCAGTAATAAGACTGGTAAAGAGGGAAGGTTGAGCCAGGTGAGACTAGCAACCGGATCCCACAAAGAAAAATAAACACCACTGCTACCGAAACTTCAAGCCTCTAGCTTGAAGATGCCCTATGTTCCACTGGGAACGTGAAGGAATAAAAAAGTAATAAAGGTGTGTTTCTTACCTTCTAAGCGTTGCCAAATCATTGTTACCAGCTGCAAACAGTAATGATGTAATCGCATCTGTACGATAAGAATCTCTCGGTTTTCTTGGATCAATTTTTTTATCATAATGTAAATGACTCTCGTAATGATGAAAAATAAATCGTTGAACAAGTTCCTAGAAAATAAAAAAAATAATTTTTATTAAGGTATTATTATTATTATTGTTCCCTTGGGTTCCTAGTGGAACATAGGGCTTCAACTGCACGTCTCCACTTGCTTCTGTCTTCTGCTGTACTTTTCACTTGCGTCCATGTTATTCCATACTGTTTCATCTCCTCCTCACATGATCTCCTCCATGTCACCCTTGGACGTCCCACTCGCCGCTTCCCTTTCGGGTTCCACTCGAGGGCCTGACGCGCGATGTCACTCAACGGCCTCCTCAGCGAGTGTCCAATCCATCTCCACTTTCTCCTGCATATTTGTTGGGCGATTGGTTCCTGTTTCGTTTGTTCCCATAGCTTCTTGTTTGTGATTCTTTCCGGCCATCTAATCTTCAGTATGGAGCGAAGACAGTTGTTGATAAAGGTCTGCAACAGGCTGTTGGAAATATTCTTTGTGACCCGCCGTCAAGTTTCTGATCCATTCGTATAGAAGAACTGACTGACTTGACGTTTGTATTGAAAATCCGTATTTTGTTGTTGATGGTGAGTGACGAAGATTTACAGATTGGTTTCAGGTTGATGAATGTGTTTCTCGCCTTCCCGATTCTCGATTTGACATCCTCGTCTGTTCCTCCTGTGGTTGAGACAATGCTCCCCAGATAAGTGAAAGAAGTAACCTCTTTCAAATCCCTCCCGTTGATGGTGATTGGCACTGGATGTTGCTGCTGTTGTTGGTTGGTTATTTTCATAACCTCCGTCTTGTCTATGTTCACCTGGAGTCCTGTCTTCTCTGGCTGCTTCTTCGACCAGTTTGTCGGTTTTCGCTTGTAAGTCTTCGATTTTGTGTGACATCAAACATAAATCATCCGCAAAATCCAGGTCTTCTAGGTTCTTCACGTCGGTCCAGGATATCCCTGTCTTCTCGTTTCCCACTGTCTGACGCATAATCCAGTCCACCACAATTAGGAATATCATTGGTGATAATAAGCACCCTTGTCTGACTCCTGTGTTTACTCCAAGCGCTTCGCTGAGTTTTCCGTTGTGGATCACTTGACATGTGCCGTTGTCGTACAGTTGTTGAATAAGGTTGATGAATATTTGGGGTACGCCGTAGTACTCGAGTAGTTTCCAAATTACTTCACGGTCAACGCTGTCGAAGGCCTTCTCAAAGTCTGTGAAGAAGTTGAGGTAGAGATTTGATTGCCATTCCATGCTTTGTTCGATGATAATGCGTAGAGTTGCAATTTGGTCAGAACATGATTTGCCTTTCCTGAATCCAGCTTGTTCTGGTCGGAGTTCTGTATCCAACGCGTCCTTGATTCTCTGCAGGATGATGCGACTCAGGATTTTACTTGGCGTCGACAGGAGCATGATTCCTCGCCAGTTCTTGCAGAGTCCTAGGTCGCCCTTCTTTGGTAGTTTCACCAGGTAACCTTTCCTCCAGTCAGTAGGCACCTTTCCCTCCTTCCATATTTTTTGCAATAATGGAGTCAGCATGTCTGCCGTCGTTTCTGGGTCCGCTTTCAGTGCTTCCGGGGGTATTCCATCTGGTCCAGCTGCTTTTCCAGCTTTCAGAAGCTTGATTGCATTCATGACTTCAGTTTTCGTTGGAGGATTGGTGTCAACTTGCAGTTGTGTACGTGCTGTTGTTGGTATTACTGGACGGGTTGTAGGTGGTGGTCGGTTCAAGAGTCCTTTGAAGTGGTCCGCCCATTGTTTAATCTGTCTTTCTTCTTTGGTAATTGGGTTCCCTTGGCTGTCTTTTATAGGTTTCACTTGTGTTGATCTCTTCCCGGATAGAGACTTGGTTATCTGATATAGTGTCCTCAGGTCCCTTTTGCCTGCTGCCTTCTCAGCTTCAGTAGCCAGGTTGTCGTAGAATTTTCTTTTGTCCTTCCTGGCACTCTTCTTCACTTCTTTGTCCAGTGCTGTGTAAGTTGAGTTCAGCGTCTCTTTCTCTTGTCCATCTTTGCATTGAATCATTTTCTCTTTCACTTTTCTCCTCTCCTCTATTAGTTTCCAAGTGTCTGTTGAGAGCCATTCCTTGTCTTGTTTCTTCTTTCTTCCTAAAACCGTTGAGCACGTTTCGTTGAAAATTACCTTCAGAGAGTTCCAATGGTCTTCCACGGATGATTCCTCAGTGGTGCCACGTAGTGTTTCCTGCTTTGCTCTGACAGTTGCAGTGAAAATGTCCTGTGTGATTGTGTCCTTCAGTTTGTGAGTGTTGAACTTGCATTGTGGCCTATCCCCAGGTATCCTCGAGGCTTTCAGCTTCACCTTGAAAGTCCCTTGTACCAGATAGTGGTCTGAACCCACATCTGCTCCTCTCCTCGATCTTGTGTCCAGTAGGCTCCGTCTCCACTTCCTTGAGATTGAAATGAAGTCTATCTGGTTTTTGGTGTGTCCATCTGGTGAAATCCATGTTGCCTTGTGTATATCCCTGTGTTTGAACACACTGCCACCAATCACCAAATCATTGAAGGCGCAGAAGTCTGAGAAGAGTTCGCCATTTTCGTTCATTTCACCGAGGGCCTCACGACCCATGGTGAGTTCTCTTCCTGTATTGTCTCCTCCCAGCTTCGCATTCATGTCGCCCATCAGGATTTTGATATCGCTCTTTGGGACGTTGTCCATTACTGTTTGTAGTTGACTGTAGAAATCCTCCTTCTTCTCATGTTCTGAGGCGTTTGTAGGCGCGTAGCACTGAATGATTGTAACCTTCTTTCCTTTTGAGTTGAACCTGGCTGTCATTATCCTGGAGGAGATTGGTTCCCACTGCATGAGAGCTTTAGCCGCTGTTGGTGACATCATGATGGCTACTCCCTCGGTGTTCTCGTGATTGTCCTCTGGGTGACCGGAGTAGATTATTGTCTCTCCAGTTGATAGTTGGCACCTTCCACATCCGTTCCATCTGCTCTCGCAGATTCCCAACACTTCTATTCTATATCTCCTCATTTCTGCGGCTACCTGAGCAGCCTTCCCAGCTTCGTACATTGTACGAACATTCCACGTCCCCATCCTTATTTTTGCTTTCATCGAAAGAAGGCACATTGGCTGACTGACTTCCCGAAGGCTTTCACCAGCCTGCGTCATTTCACTTCCCCGATTCCAATGAAAAATAAGGTCATTGTTGATATTTTTAGTATTTTTAATATATTTATGCGTTGAAGTTTCTGTAGCAATTTGGTTAAGTTTTGGGGGTGGAGTTGCTAGCACCACGCCCCAACCCTCCCTCTTTATCCGGGCTTGGGACCGGCTAGAATACTAGTGACCTAGTAATCTAGGCGAGGTTTTATTAAGGTATAAGGAGTTCTAAAGTGAGATGATGTTTCTATTTCCCATGGATTAATCTTTGCCAGTTTACTATAATGGAACATTCGAGTCCCAGTATAGTTAACATTATATTTTGATAAATCACACAGTGTTGTTGTACAGTAATATTATCTGATGGCTACGTTTCGAGCACAAATTATTGCCACTCATAATCATATCAAACCTCACCTAAATTACTAGCTCGCTAGTTTTCTAGCCGGTCCCAAGCCCGGATAAAGAGAGAGGGTTGGGGCGTGGTGCTAGCAACTCCACCCCGAAAACTTAACCAAATTGCTACAGAAACTTCAACGCATAAATATATTAAAAATATTAAAAATTTAAACAACAACCTTATTTTTCACTGGAATCAGGGAAGTGAAATGACGCAGACTGGTGAAAGCCTTCGGAAAGCCCGTCAGCCGATGTGCCTTCTTTCGATGAAAGCAAAAATAAGAATGGAGACGTGGACTGTTAGTAAAATGTATGAAGCTGAAAAGGCTACCCAGGTAGCCGCAGAAATGAGAAGATATAGAATAGAAGTGTTGGGAATCTGCGAGAGCAGATGGTACGGATGTGGAAGGTGCCAACTATCAACTGGAGAGACAGTAATCTATTCCGGCCACCCAGAAGACGACCACGAGAACGCCGAGAGAGTGGCCATCATGATGTCACCAACAGCGGCTAAAGCTCTCATGCAGTGGGAACCAATCTCCCTCGGGATAAGGACAGCTAGGTTCAACTCAAAAGAAAGGAAAGTTACAATCATTCAATGCTACGCGCCTACAAACGTCTCAGAACAAGAAAAGAAGGAGGATTTCTACAGACAACTACAAACAGTAATAAACAACGTCCTAAATGGCGATTCTGACTATGTAGTAAAAGGCTTACGTCTCGGGGGGACAATCGCCTACAATAATGCCACTGCCTAACCGCGCTAAGTTAAATAATCTAGGGAAAACCTTAGCTATTACAATGCATGCACTTGCGCATAATTGCATAATAGGGTTATAGAGGACACAAGTAATAAGAGTCTTTGTAGACAGGTGAAGAAAAAAAGAGGTGACAGGTTTGATAACGAGTTAACATCAGTTAGAGAATCACTGGAATACCTGCAGGGAGTAATGAACAGGTATCTGCTTCGTCCAAATTTGGGACTCTTCATCAGTACGCATCCACCCATAACCTACGGTTACAAAGCGAGCTCGTGGACCATCCACTCACTGGGGCTTGATAAAATGATTCATGAATTCCAGCTTCTGGTAATTCGTGGTATATATTTAATGCAACCACCTGAGAGAACGTCATAGGCGAGTAAATATCCTCCTAACTGACTTGATGGATCCCACTGGTTACGATTTCTCATCAAAACTCTAAGTAACTTCGAGTAGTGCGAGCTAGTGAGCATAAGATTAGTTGTCAAGTATTGATTGGCAGGGATTTGATTGGTTACAGGTCTCATCAATTAACAGCTGTCCAGTACTCCCTGCTGGTTTACCAGTGGTTCTCTAATTGATGTCAGCTCACGACCAAACTTGTTAGACCAATCAAACCTCCAGGAACCAACATCGAAGTCGTGTGAATAAATTCATGTGATAATGAATAATTAATTGTGCTCTAAATGTGGGCAGCAAGTTATCACTAATGTATCACTGTGTGTGATACATCCAATAAACTTAACTGTTAGACAGTTATATTATACTAC